CTGCCCAATGTTTACGATCCGGAGATTCGATACAAGTTGGTTCATGATGCTGACGGAGATGAGACACTCTCTGAACCTGATGCTCCCCATCGCTCCGTTATTGATGGTGTAATGATGATATTCCAACACCTTTGGAAATTCTTCCATATCCACATTAGAGCCTGGGACGAATACTTCGGAGCTGTTCTAGACTTTGCTGAGATGGGTCATCGGGAAACCGGATATGTCTTGGCCGCGAACTTCCTAGCGAGCACTATCAGAATCATTTCTGCTGATCCGCTCCAGGAACTCAGTGGGAACTGGGCCAGAATGCTTCAAGGTGTCATTAGGCGGAATAATACTACAAAACCTACCTCGTATGTATCGATTATCAAACTGGTCAACCACTTGATGAGTCAGATGAGGCCGCAAATAGGAGCCGAATATGTCGAAGATCCGACAGAGCGTGTATCAGAACTGGTCGAGGCCTTCAGCTGGACGTCCGAAGAGGTGGATCTTATTTACAGCAGTCCAAACGGTTCCTATACCAGCCTGTTTGTTGAAAAACTCCTTACCCTCGATCAGGAACACGCAGGCTGCAACAATATCATCAGAATCTTGACAAGGCTGGACAACAGCATGGATGAAAAAGTACTCGGGACCTTGAAGCTATGTATTCGTGGTGAGACTTCGACCCAGGCCATGGATCCGTTTCTGCGGGCTTCTATCACGTACCTTGAAAGTACAGAACAGCTCAGCAACGCCAAGGACATGATTGAACACGTATATATGCAAGCGAAAAGCCTTCAAAACACCGAGGGGGTGTATTTTGTTCAACTCTTCAGAACAGCATTGGATCTCCACCAACAAGACAGGGAGTTTTGCAAGGCGGTTCGCACGTTCAGCCGTGGCCTCATCCCAAAGTGGGTACCTTTCCTCCTCGCAAGCCCTGAAGAACAAGTGCGCCGGAGCACAGATGACTTTTTAGTTTGCGAGTTGGGTAAGATTGATGTTGGTGCTACCAGTGACCGCGATGTCACCTTGGATGATCAAGTCTCAATCAAACAGATGATAAAGCAGATCGGCCTTATGTGTCTCCTGTATCTCAGGGACCACCATGTGCGCAGACGAGCTCAGATGAGTCGGGAGATTGCAGACAAGTTCTTGAAGGTAATTGAGGGATGTGCAGCTACGGCTGTGGCAACAACCGCGGATACACAAACCGAGCTAGATGTGGAATTCCTCACATTGCAGGAAGGTAGGTCATTTTCTCTACAATTTTATCCAGTATCATCAACCAAAAGGCTCACATGATTCACAGATGTTTTGAATCCCTTCCGCAGGCTAATTGTTGACGAACTGGAGGAAGATGGGTCCGGTATGTTACAGTCGCTCAGCGACTCCAACACAATCATAACAGACTTGAGGTGACGGCTGACGTTGGGCAAAGACTGGGAAGGATCCTGCGGGTCATCTGAACAACTTGATGACATTGTTGAGATGAACATTCCAGGAATGAACGAAATAAACGATCTGGAGCAGATGTCATGAGGTTGGGATTGTGCCCAAGGAATTTAGACGAATCACCGCGGTTGCTCGAAACCAGAATATTACAACAGACACGGACAAGGACGGAAAGGCGTTTGGTGGAAGCTGGATGGTTTCTTATTCTGAGCTTATTGATGGTTTGCTTTGACTAGACCCTAGCTTAAAGGATGAGTGGACGATGAATGGTTTATCAGGCTCAAATCATCAATGTACAGTCATGGTATCGAGGCAGAAGCGAGTGTTTCTGGAGCAAATTTGCATAGCAAGGAGTGATGGCGTCATGGAAAATAATATGAATAGGATGAGGGAGTTATGACTGAAACAGGCAGAGAAAGAGACAAGCTCCCAGTCTGTTCCTTAAAGCCACGACAGTATGAGACTCATCAGCTGACGGATAGCCTGCCGGGTCAACGAATACACGACTACATGATCATGATAGCCAGGTAGATGATCCGATAAGCCGCCGGGCATCTCCTAGCGAACTCGGTGACCTTGAATGAATTCACAGCCAGATTAGAATAGAGTTGTGTTTGTTACCGCCAGGTGAAGTGAGGATGGCGCCATGTGATTCTATGAATAGCGACCTGAGAATAGCCTCTGATTAACGGGAGCCCCAAGCCGCGCGACAGGCGAATGGGGGAAATCCTGACCATCGTTATCCATTTCCGCACGCGAATTGGACTGGGAGACCCTGATCCAAGCAATGAAGGTCCAGGTCGTGACGGTACCGACAGGCCAGGCTGGCGGCTGGCTGAAAAGCTATCTTTAGCTACCGGATCAAAATGGTGGCCAGCCTTAGCACGCCAATGCTACGATGCCATTCCACAGATATGCGAAAATTCGCAAGTTTAGAAACATGTCTTTGTAGATGAAACAGCGGGTCTCTGATCTGGAGATGCGTTTCTTCCTGTCCTAGATACGGTTGAAGCGTTTCAAGCGGGATGTTTTGTTTTGTTTGGTTTGGTTTGATTCACGATAACTATGGAAGAAGCCGATGTTTCAGCAACATATTATTCATACATGTGCTCCATGCCCATCTTGGGCTGCTCGATTCATTGAAAGATATCTAGGATCCGAGTGTTGTTATCTAGCTATCGAGATGTTTTGACCCGGGAGACGGGAACTGTTGGTTCACGTTCACACCCCGACTGCCGAGATCAGGAGCAGCGATCTTGGTGTCGAAGTTAGTGTAGGGAGGAAACGCAGGAACAGAACGGGGGAGTGGTGTTGATGGACAAGGATAAGAGACTGTTTTTAGAACAAGGGAGAATACATACAGTGTATCCAGGCCTATGATATTTTGTTTCCGTTAGATTATGGCGATCTGATCGTTGAGCTTCTCACTATAAACATGATCAATATTAAACTATTAGTTAATTAATACAAGTGATATCCCCTGCTCGATCAAAATCTGCGAGTTCATCGTCACACTCACATGCATACAGCCACTCACATGCCTTGCCAGGCCGCCAACTACCTTCTAAATTAAGTATAAGGCTAGAGCTGGCCAATCACGGTCCTTTCTGTCAACCCCGCCAGCAGCTCAAAATAGTAGCCGAGCTGCCACTAATGCACGTTAGCCGCCGAGATCCCTTCACTAAACCGCATTGGTCACTCACAGCGGGGCTGCATTTTGATGTAAACCACCAGAGGTAAATCACCGCTTATGATCAACTGCGACTGATTGATGCTGCAATTTCCCTTTCTTCAACACACGACAACGGCGCCTTACTCATCCTGGCACGCCTCCGTTTCATGTTCCCCCCCATGTCCACATCCACCGAGGTTATCAGGCGGGCCGCTCAGTGAGAGGCCACCAGGGGGAGGGGAAAAGTGACTGGATGGTGAAACATAAACAAGCTGCCTTTCGTTCTTTTTTTAGATAGACATGTCCGGGGAAGAATAAGCTTGGACGCGGTCATCTCTTTTAATACTCTTTTCGTCCACTTGTTGCTCTCTGCTCTTGAAACTTTTCTGACACAGGATCACGACGACGACGGGTTCACAATACCATCAAGTTTGTGAGGATATCACAGCTGCTGTGCGGCTTTTTGCTCGGTTCGGTCACCTTGTTATATCTTCTTATCTTTTTTCGTTTCTCTCTTCTCAGTGTACCTCGTTGCTTGTTAGTTTTCTTCGTTCTTCGCCAGATCAGACCAGGCCAGGTCAAGTCGTCCTATTTACTGAAGCACAACTTCACAACTTCGAAATGTCGCTCAAGGATAGGATCTCGTCACCCCTCGAGGCTGGTACCTCAATCCTCGATGCCCATCACCTGCCACCGCATCTGGCACCGGCTCTCGAGCATGTATCTTCGCGTCTGGCCCGCAAGTCGCAACATATCACTCTTGTTGTAGCCCGTCGGGATTATCAACTCCCTTCTGTTGTGCCTCCCAAGGGTCTGCTGACTCCGACGACTCCTTCGCCACTATCTCCTGGTCTTCGGTTGAACCTCTCTCAGGGTCCTGTCTCCAGGCTCAAATCGCTGGTGAGAACTGGTTCTTCAACATCCCTGCGGTCGATGAATTCTCCGCGGAGTGCTTTGTCTTCACCCGGTCAGGTCCCCCCGCTTGAAGCGTCCAGCCCTCGGTTCAGATGGCCTCTTTCACCTTCCACGCCAATGTCTCCTCCTCCCATGACACCTTGCACCGCATCATCGACGACCACAGATACCATGAGCTCTATGATGAGCGCATCGTCAGGCTTCGGTATGCGACTTATCCACACCAACGAGCTCCACCCTAGGTCCGAAAAGATCCTCAACTCAATTTTGACCAAGACGGAGAAGAAGTTCGCGATAGGGTAAGACACCTCAGTTTTCCATAGAACCTAACTAACTCACCAAAGCACTGAGTGGCTATCACCTGCTGTCAGAGCTTCCTCATGCGGGCTCACGAACCAGCTCATCCATAGCTCCATCATCCAGAACGAGGTCCTTTTCTGCTCCGAAGGCCTCACAGTTCTATCACTTGATAGATTGTACAGTCTCAAGAGTGCCCTGTCCAGCTATTCCAAAACGAAATCCCACCTCCGTCTCGAAGACGCCGTTGACGAACTCCGACGTATCATACTGGCAACCAATGGTGCAAAGGTTTCGAAAACCGCCATCCTCCGATCGTATGACTGGCTGAGTGTGTCTAATTGGGCACTTGTGGACCTTGATCGCATGTATAGGCGAGCATATGGAGGACCAGAGCAGTATGGTGGTATCTCAGGTCTTACTAGCTTTGCGGAGCCAGCCATCCAACCTATCAGCGACTCACAAGAACGATACAAGGAAGAAGAGGCTGAGGAGGCGACAATAGGCATTGCTGTCTCCAAAGGGAAGACGCCCTCGCCGAAGCCTCTGCTTAAACTCCAGACAAATTTCACTCCGGGGCCCATTCTGAAACCGAAGCCCAAGAAAATTGAAGTCCCAGCTCCAGTTTCGGTTCCAGCTCAAGCTGAAGCACCAACTCAGACCGAAGTAGAAGAGGAGGAAGACGGCGATCGCACGGCACGACCGACAGATCAATTGTATTTCACAATGCAGCAATGGGAGCCACCTTCGACGATAGATCAAATCTTAACCGCCGGTCCCATCAATCGAAGCGCTTTCAGTCCCCTCACACCAACACCCATCATGAGTCCAGCATCACCAAGATTTGGGCCGTTAACCCCGCATGACTATGACGATATTTCGCCCACCACGCGAGGAGAATGGGGCTTCATGATGGCAGACAATGCCTTCCAGAGTGGTCGCAAGGCCGGAGTTGAGATCTTTTGATATTGTAGGCTTATTTGCTTTGTTTTGTCGGTTGCATGGCGAGCGTTTGGCTTCAAGACACCCCTTTTGTTCGATTGCACGTATGCTTGGCATATTAGATCTTAGCGTTATAGAGGACGGCGTATGTTTGTGGAGTAAATATGCTGGACAAAAGTTGGGGGAGGATAGATAGTACCATTCTTGAATATATTGAATAAACTTGGGTATCATTATCATCACTACCATCCGTACTTGCTCCCTGCCTCCTTTCGGTTATTCTTCCCCTTGGCAAAACTATCCTCAAGAGCTTCACGCTGGCTCTGCGCATTCTGTACCAACTGGCGCAAGCTGTGCTTTCCACCTCCTTGGATCGCGCGCACAGGGTTGTGAGTCTGTTCCTCTCCTGCGGCCCTAATCTCTTCGTTGTGTCTATATTCCTTATCCATGTTAAAATTGATAACTTTCTTAGCTGCTTGGTTGCCCAGGCCATTGCGGCCAAAGAGCTCTCTTCGTTGAGCGGCGGTAAGGTTTAGGTCCTCGACTACTGTATCAAGGGACTCAGAGCCTGGTAATGTTGTTGCGGGTGGACCTGCTTGCGCATGGCTGGCATAGTCGCCATATGCGCCCTCATCATAGGCCAATGAGCTTTCTGCTGTCGCAAACATTGGTTCGTAAGTGCCTGAAGAACTATTTTCTGCAGGTTCAGAAGTCTCTTCTGTGTGCATAGAGAACAGCGACACCTTCTTGGGAACGGCTGGCGTGGCCTCTGGTGTTGCCTCAGCCGGTTTCAACTGAGCCTGTTCATGTGTGGGAGTCGGCGCTGGTTTTGCCAGCCCTGAGTTCAGTTTCTTCTTCTTCTGGGGGTTCCTTGCCACAGACAGAGGCTTGAACATCAATGGCTTGCCCACCAACTTAACCTCGTCTGCTGGTTTTTGTCCTTCAGGTATATGTGGTTGCGCGGCAGCCTTCGGCGTCGGTAGGCTCATGCCGTCTGCATTGTCCTTTGAATTGTCCAGGTCGCCTCCTGTTCCTCTACTAAATCCTGGAGCTGCGCTAGTCTTGAACTGAAAGGTTGGTCTCGCTGTCGAACTGCTCGATGCCACGGGCTTGGGCTTGTTCGCGTTCTTGGGCGCTGGTAGAAACGAGTTGAAACCGGAGAATCTACCACCACCGGCAGTTTTGGTCCGTTTTGCTGGAGGTTCTTCGGCTTGCGGTTTATCGTTGACGAGCTGAGGGAGGCTGACAACGATTTTGCCAGGGTTGGACCTATCGACAACCTTTTGGAAAGGCTTCTTGGAAGATGCAGTTGATTTAGGGGCGGGTTTGACGGGAGCTTGAGCTTCGGCTTCGGAGCCTGAGCCCTCTGAGTCGGAATAGTCGACAAGGCCCATGGTGGTCGATTATTCGATTAGTTAGTTGATGTAATAGTGAAAGTACGAAAGAATCGCGAAGCTGAGCATCGCGACATGAGGTTGAAAGGTTCCACTTCTAACACGACTGTGCCGCAATGCAGCCACATCTTAACGAGGCTGTGCTCCACACTCAAGGGTAAGGTGAGTTCAGTTGAATGATAAGGTGCCTAGATTACCCCACGGCTCAACCCGTGCTTGTCTCATTGACTAGGTAGCAGTTACAGCGATGATACAGTCCCTGCTTTAGATTCTCGATTTCTTGACAATTCACGGCTTGGGGCAGGGTTAAACATGTTGAAGCAGTTACTCGGCTCTAGGGAAATTCTTGACCTCACAGGGTGAAGCGATCACACATAATTAGTCGCGACTATGTCCGTCATACAACTTGAAGAGTGCGATCATGTCTTCGGTAATGGCTTTGCACAGATTCATAGGCTGACGTCCCGTCCAGACTCGTCTCCTACCAGCTTCGCACAAGCTACCTCGACGAAATTGCAGACGGTGTTGGAGAGCGACTCCTAAACGTCAACGATGGCTTCATAAATTCGGCTCCTTTTAAAGCCGCTGGCTGGCGACCGAATTCGTCCCACCACAAGCGGACACACTCACCTCCGATCCCTACTGCGATTGCCTCCGAGTACTTCCAAGCACCAAAGCAGGCTGGCCTCACACTCGAAGATGGGGAAGAAGATGGCGGTATGCTCACTGCGGGCGGTTCGGATACTATGGGTCCAGGAATGGCTACCAGGCGGCGCAGGCGTCGCGAGCAGATGGAAGAAGAGGACAGTAGTGACTTGAGCGATGAGAGCGACGACGATACGGATCAACGGGCTGCGCAACAGATCAAGTTTGCAAAAATGCCGGTCAGACACAGAGCGGGCTCGTCACCACTACAGAACACGAATTTGAGGCAAGTCGGGGCTGTCTCGCCAAGGGCGCCTCGCCGAGGCTCACAGTCAGCTTTGGTAACAGTGCAGGAGAGGCCCCGGAGAGACACAGTCACCAGCAGTGAGATATCATCCGAAAACGAGACCGATATTCCGACAGTCCAGAGGCATCGAGAAGCTGCTCGCGCTGCGGCAAGGGCTGCGAAGCTACAGGCTAGAATTCTGGAGGAGCCCTCGCCCGGTATTCAACGAGCGGACACATCTCTCTTGCCAGAGGAGGAGGAAGATTCCGATGAGGCTTCCGACTTGTCTGATAACTACGCCGAGAGTATAGACTCGGCATCGATTCTTGATGGCGTTGAAAACGCTATCAATGCTTCTCCCACCCGCCAGGTTGTGGGAACACCGCCCAAGAACTTTGTACGCCAGTCTACCATTCGCAAATCCAAACCGCCGACGCACCCCATTGTCCTCGGAGCGTTACCACCTCCCAGGCCGATGAGCATGATCAGACCTTTGAGCGTCGCCCAACCCAAGAGTTTGCTATCGGCCGCCCTAAAAGCCAAGGATAAGAAATCGTCTATTCCCTTCCAGAAGTTCGCCCATTTCAGTGGGCAGGGTACGCAAGGTTCTATTGCTGTGCGTATATATGCACCTTTCTCAAAAACACCCAGCAAGCCATTCCAGGTGCTTATCCGCCCACGTGTTCACGACGGACAAGGTGCCGAGCGGGTGGTGACGGTTGCAGACCTCATCGGCTTGAGTTTATACCGATACAATGAGGAGAAACTCGAACCTCCGTTGCCCAAGGGCAAGCTCAATATTAACTGGTGGACTCTACGTATGGTGGAAGAAGGTGGCGAAGTTGACGACGATTTCCCCCCCTTTGAAAGAACGAAACCGTTGACATCTTTTACTACGGTTAACAATGCTGCTGCGCGCGGTGGAGGCCGCATGCGATCTAATTCAACTGCTTACGACGACTTTGCGTTGGCAGAAGCTTCAGAGGAGGAGTACCTTGAGAATAAGTCACTCACACCACAAGAAGACGAAGAGGAAGAGCCAGCAACATCACAGGATAGCGGCGGGGGGGTTCCTCTCACTCCTACGGAGCCAGATGCGGACGCGACTCCTCGAGGCACTCCAGGGCCGGCTGTCAACCCGTTCCTAGCGGAGCGTCCGCGGCAAAATCCTATCGTCACAACGACATATCGGTCGAACGCTCCTCCAGCAGACATACCCCAGGCGCCTGCTGCAGCTCCCAATACATCCCGAGGGCAGCAAAAGCTGCTTCGGATTCATATCATGTCATCAGATGTCGCACCAGGCCAAATGGTGACACTAGATGTGATGACTGATACTTACTTGGCTGAGGTGCTGGACATGGTATGCCGAAAGAGACAGTTAGACAAGGCCAACCATGTTCTTAAGCTTCCTGGATCAGGAGCGGTAGTCATGCTGGACCGGCCAGTTTCGTCCATTGGGAATGTCTCAGACTTGGAATTGTACAGGCGACGATTTGCAACAGATGGTCCGTTGACGATTACCGGCTCGCCGGGCAGCTCGTCCCCGAAGATGCTGCCACTGGCCGACCAGGCCATGCAGAAACGCAGCAAGAAGTCGCAAACACCGATGGTCGGAAGTCACCCATTGGCGCGAGAATCGCTGAAGCAAGATGAGCTCAGCAACGCCAGCTACAAGAAGTACACTGTCTGGCGCAAGCAGCCCATGCGCATCGTCGGTATGAGCGAACGCATTCTAGTAATCGACGGCGAGTACATTCATATCATGCCAGCGTCTGGCGGTAAGGCGTTGCATGACGGTTCAGGCAAGACAACAACGGTGCACTTTAGTAACGTGGTTGGGTGCAAAGTCCTCCGGAAACATCCCACGAATGTCAAGGTGAGAGTTTGCTGTTCCTTTGATATTGGTTTACCATTCTAACAATGCCGCAAATAGCTTGTTGTGTATAAAGCAACCGAGAGCAAACGATATGACTTTGAGGCCCGTAGTGCATTGGAAGCGGCTGAGATAGTGGAGGAGCTTAAGAAGGGCATGCCTAAATGAGTGGGATCGCAAATCTGAATGCTTTTAGGGGTTAGCAAACCGTTGACACACTCTCCAGATTTCAGACTAAGCACTGAAGACACGAAGACCATGGCGCAAGCAATCCACCGGAATTCCTCGTTGTTTCCACACCACTTGTATGTCGCTCTGTATATCAGCAAATGGACTTGAGCTTGCCTCTTTCGCTTGTCGGCAGAACCTCAATCCCAATGGCAAACGAAACGACCCATTTCGTTTAACCCATGCCATACTTGGACGGACACTGAGCCATACTTTGATCAGTCCACGCGTGCGTTCATTGCATTGAATCTCGATGAGGAGCGGTGTCGGCTACGGCGTCAGAAGCGAGGCTGAAAAAGCTGCTTGAATTATTGACAGACCATGCTCGGCATAGTCTTGGCTAACATTGGCCAAGACTGTCGAGCAAGGCAGTAGAATGTCGAAATGGCGATCCAAGGTGCCAAGCCGGGGTTATGGCAACAGGATACATATCATGGAGCACTGAAGATGAGGAGAGATGGAGTTGATGTGGAGACTTCGAGGGGCGTGTGTGGCGTTGAGCCAAGCCGGCCGCGACAGGGGAAGCTCTCGGATTGGATCAGGCCAGTAAAGAAGAGTGTTGGAGGTATCCGTATGTGCAAACTCCGTACATGTTGCGTGGTACCAAACAGTCTCCGAGCCTCATGACTGTGCATGTTGCTTGAATCAGAACCGATGCTGCCCTAATCGGCACGCAGAACAGATCATTTCTGCAATGATACACCATACACTGATTCAAACCCTTGCATCAATGCTGATTGCTTGGTCTTTGTGCGATATGACACCAAAATCAGGCGCTGTAGGCTAAACAACTGATGGCTCTTCTGCCTTGGTGTCGCGTGCGAGTGTATGTTATGTAACTATCGCTGCTCAATTCTGTGATATTGTCAGCAACTAAGAAGAGATCAAGAAAGCCAAGGGCTCCCTTGTCTGATTCTCCCCAGGTCGGGTGTTTCCACTGTCGTATCGGGGACTGACAATCAGTCGATCCTCTGCACTCCTTCAGACTCCTTTGGGCTTCTCGAACAAACATTAGTGGTTAGCAGACCTCTTAAAGTCTCAAGTCCTCCTGACTTCCGCGGTTCAGCTATTGAAGAGGCTGGGACAACTACTGAAGCAAAGAAATCAGGAACGCAAGGTTTCTCTCCAGGAAATGGTTCGAGGTTTGATTGGATGTCTTGGACATTGTTTCAGAGAAGTAAGCTTCCTTTAACGCCATCCAGAGTTGCAGGGTGTCGCGTTTGTGTTTGTGTGTGTGTGTGTGTGTGTTGCATCGATACCAGCATAGTACAGTATGCACTCGTATACAGTGCAGTCTTTTAGGTAATTCCATAATTTCGATTGTGTTTGAACCCAATATCTACAGGGCCAAAGTCCTTCTGACGAAGGATCATTATCACGGGAACAGTTATAAGGTCCCAAAGTTCCAAGCTGGCTCACCAATGAGAAGGCCTTGTTAGTGGCCCATGGCCCCATGCAGACTGCCGTAGGGCTCGTGTTGGCCCTGATTCAACTGTAACGAAAAGAGTAGCCAGCAAACAAAGTGTGGAGCTTCCATCCCAAAAGGCCCACCGTGACGCAAATAATCACCTAAAATTGCGCGATAGAGGTCCATTAGCATTGGCATTGGGGAAGGCGAAGACAATGGAGGATTAAGTGCAGGATCATGAGAAAAGGGAGAAGGCGATGCCGGCGCTTTCATCTTTTTAGACACCAAGCAAACACCCTTTGAAGTAAGTCTGTATGCTAAACTAGTATTCTCAGTTCCTCCCTGCTTCCTTGGTTTCGTCGCAGCTACAGAATGTCGTCTTAGGTGGGCGTGGCTGTGGTAGAGCCGATGCTGTGGCGAGCGTGGCTGACGTATCCGCAACTCAATTCAGTCCCACTTCTCTTTTTAGTCTATAACGTCAGAACAAGTTTATCCTCAAACTTCGCGGGATTCGGCTTCATCAACTAGAGCTGGCTTTAACAGTTTTCTTGCTTTCGACCAAGGCGCCCCAATTTGTTGCCCCCAATCACAAATCTTGGCTCAATCTCGCCTTGGCGCCCCCGGATGCATGTTTGAAGCGTGCAGGCCTCTAACGCTATGAACACGCCTGTTCAGCATATGCGCGAGATCGTGATGAGAGATGATGGAGGATTTGCAGTCACTGGGTACTCAACTACAGGGTTCACCTGGTAGCCAAGAAATGCCCGTCCGAGGCAGCTGTTGCCTCCCATTTCTTGGTTCTTCATTTCAATATCCATCGCTGCTCATTTTCCGGTTTTTCTGATACAACTCGGAGAACGGCACTGAAACCCTGGTCGCGGAATATTATGCAGGTACTCGTGAGCTTGAATGTCAAAAGTCGGTCGTTTCGGTAAATCATTTATGCATTTGCCTCAAGATTCGAATGGATCGGGTAGCTGTCCAGGCTACAGTCATGACCTGGTTCCTGCGCTCCTTTCAACATTACTACATACTTAGGCCATTGTACCTAATACCCGAAACCCCAAGACATGCCGCGTGAGCTTGAGGCTCAGCTCTGCACAAACGGTGTTTGCCAAAGAATGGGTCGGCCTCCGTTTGAGAACTTGCTGTATTATTCCCGGCGGTCTCGTGTAGGGCTAGCTGAGACGTGGGATGCTGTACTTCCCTCGCCTTGCATGACGTAAGCTAGGGGGCAGCTGAGGCCACTACATCTGGAAGCTCTGAATGCCGTATTCACAAAAGCGCCCCAGAAAACAGCTCGGACTGGGCGATATCTACACTAGGTGCACAGTGTATGACATATGGCACTGGTACAGAGGCCGCAGTAGCTTGACTGACATCAATCTGAAGCACGAATATTTGGGTACAGGTCCGTTTCTGGTCCGTTAACTGCGCTGTTGGCTGTATCGATCGATGGCCTAACTACGAATAGACGTGCCTCCACCATTCTCCAAGCATACGAATCGCCAAGGCCCGGAGCTAGGGCGGACAGTCCGGGGTGAAGGGGGTGTGCGAATAGAAGTCATCGTCAAAGGCCCCAGTGCAATGCAGTCAGCCAAGATGGACGGCATAGCATGGCATGGTTCGTTTCTAACTGTCTCGGTCTGTGTCCATAAAACGTCTTGACTTCCAGGCTTTCTATTCTTTCTCTCCTCCTCTCTCATCCATCGCTGCCAACCAATTCGAGATCAGACTCTCTGTCACCAAACAACAAGCACTTCTCAGTCCAATCTTCTCATCATCAACAACACCAACATCATGAAGTACTCTGCTGTCACTCTTCTCGCTGCCCTGGCTGCCTACTCTCAGGTACAATACTCTGTTCCCTAAGGTTCGCAGACTTGTCTTGCTAACATAATACAGGCCCAGTCCATCTCCATCCCTGGCGGTGACGAGGTCTCTTCTATCATTGGCGACGTTTCCTCCCGAATTGATGATGCCTCCTCTATCATTGAGGACGTCTCTACCCGCGTCGGTGATGAGGTCTCTTCTCGCGTCGGCGATATCTCTTCTCGCATCAGCACCGCCACTGAGACTGGTGCTTCTACAACCGTGACTGATGCTTCCACCGTCACCGAATCCGCAGAGACCGAGACCGAGACCGGATCAAACACTGTCGACACCAGTGCTCTCGCCAGCGTGACCAGCGCTCTTGCCAGTGCCTCCAGCGCCATCGAGGATGAGATTGCTTCTCTCAGCTCTGATCTCGCCACTGCTACTGGTACTGCCAGCGAGGCTATTGAGTCCAAGATCGCCGAGGCCACCTCCAGGGCAGGTGCTATCGAGAGCAGTGCTGGTGCTGCCGCCAGCAGTGCCACTGGCGACAACGCTGGTGCCATGCCCACTGCTGCCGTCGCTATGGGTGCTCTTATGGGTGGTGCTGCTCTCTTTGCCAACATGTAGATTGGCATTTACGGAAGACAACAGTAATAATGAAATAAACGGTCAAATCTTCACGCGCCATCATTTTAACCAACATGGAGCTCTTGTGTATATCCAATTCTGATGAAGCAAGGATATGACAGGGTTCGGGATCTTAATTAACTAGCGTTGCACATCTGCCGTTAGTGTGATGAACAGGGGAATCTGGAATTGAGGGATGCCAATGTCTGGTGCAGCCTTTGTAACGGTGACTTTGTCAATAGCATTACTTACATGAAACGTTCTCGACCTTCGATACTAAGATAAAGATGTTTCGTATTATATGTTAGCCCAAATGATGAATTTCTGTGCTTTATGCTCTTTTGTGCTCTCAATTGCGTGAGTAATGCAATGCTATTGCCTGCTCTTCTCTGTGATATGTTGCAGTCTCAGATTTTCCCTTCAGCTTAATCAACTCTCATTGACCCCCTCGATAAGTGGCATGAGATGTGCATAACGGTTTCGCCCCAGGATTTATGGTTTCGTGAGCTACTGTCGCGGCTAACTTCTACTTGTATCATATAAGCTAAAACTGAACGTCTGGTTATTGATATTGGACATTCCACTTCGTCTTTCAATCACTCTAGCTTGAGGTTGTTGTTCAAGTCAATGACTTGCAGTGAAACCATCACACCTTGACGGCACAACTACAAACCCAGCGGGAAGAATTTCTAGCAAGTCGACTTTCTTGTCGATAGTGATCTTCTGGACTCAAGTGGCGGGAATAAGGAGGTGCTGTGAGATGCGCATTCCAGTCATGATAATGCAATTCTTTCTCATCTCTGGTGGCTAAGAGAAAGGAAAGTTCACTCTTTCATGCTTATATCAGTATGATTCTATGGTCACTTCCTTGATTTCAACCTCCCCTGAGCTTCACTGGTTACCAATGTAGTAGTCCAACTCAGTACAGAGCGCCAGGACAGGTACCTGTAAGACAACCAATAAGCTCCTGTTTTCGGCGGAAGAAAGGTAAAATAAAACTCTACGTGGACGTCTTCATACTTACTATGCACTCTTTGGGAATGAGTATGTCAGGCCTGCCAGCGTCAGCGAGCTCGAGAAGAACCATAGGCTCCGCCGTATTCGAATACAATTATAAGAACTTGGCTCGCAAGGTCTATTTGAACCTTCAGAACAGCTACACGATTTATTTTTTCTTTGCTCTCAACTATTTACTCGGTATGGAGCTCAAATCAGAGAGGAAACACACTGAGAACACAACCTTGTCAATGTCAGCCGTTTGCGATTCTTGACTTTACAGCTAATGAACAGGAGCTGAGGAAAGGAACAACATTTCAAGCTTACTTCAGTGCTTTTCATCTCTCATGTTATTCCGATATGAATCTTGGCCAGTGTAGTGGCTTGAGCAAGACTTGAATATGGCTGCTATGAATAGTGGCTGTTCCCTAAGAGGGCTTTGAAATCCTTCGAGCCTAAGTTACTTCGAAGCATATGAATAAATGATTATCCCAGTACCGTGCTGAAATATGCTTCTGAACCCCATCTGTATCTAATTGCATTATTTCCTTTAGTACTTCCCTAACTTGTCTGTACCAGGTGCTTGGTATGATGGTCATGTCAAGGATAGTGACGGGGTAGCGGAATCGGGAAATGGAACCAAAAACTGGCTATCTGTGTTCCGAAGGATGCATGGCTATCCTATCCCATTAAAATAGTCGGTATATGCATTGAGCACAGTCCGCATTTGATTGTTTATCTCATACAAGCTTACCAAGCCATGCAACTCTGATCCGGGAGAATCATCACAGTCAAATCTACTGGCTGTAGCATAACCATGTATTATATACTATATAGGAATATCATCATGTCTTGGGCCTACTCTCCGTCCATAACTTATCGATAATCTGGAAGACGGCCGTCACGCCCTTCATGGTCTCTTCATCCACCTGTCCACCCAGCTTTTGCTGGATCTTGTCTGGATGCCATCGCACACGCTCATCCCTGAGCTTAGCCACAAACGATTTTTCTCCTATCTCTTGTGGATTCAGTCCATTGACAAAGAACTCACGCACAGTTGGCTCATCCACGTCTTCTATGCGACCGCCTTCAACCGGCCATGCAATTTCCGTAGGTGTGCCCTCCCAGTTTATCCAAGCTTTCGTGTAGTCTTCCCATCGTTGTTCCCAACGTCGACGTTCTCTGCGCTCCTCTCCACGACGGATACTATATTCCATGTCCTCTTGGAGTTTCTGCGCGCGACGATCCTCGCTGGCTTTGCGCTTCTTCGCCTCTTCACGGCGAGCACGCTCCTCAAGCAGGCCAGCATTTGTCTTTTCCCACATTTTCTGACGTACATAGGAAGCGTACTCTTCATCTGTCATTTGTTCTAGGTGACCTGTAGGCCCTACGCGCTCGTTGGGGTAGACGTGGACGGGTTGGCCATATACACTTTCCCAGTATGCAGCGCCCTCATCATCGGCCATAGCGTCGAATAGAGATTCACGAAATGCTGCGTCGGGATCTAGAGGCTCTGGCTCATGAGGGTTTTTTGGTGTGGGAGAGCGATGTCGCCGACGGTGTCGGTGTCGGCGGTGACGGACAGGTGGACGCCCATGACTGTCATCATCATCATAATCTCGATGCCTATGTCTGTCTCGCGATCTTCGACGAGATCTATGGTGATCCTTCAGCCGGATGCGTGAGCGCCTCGGCGCTGTGGTGTCCCCTTCGTCATCTTTATCATTGCGCTGGGCGTCGGTGTGCTCTGATGTCGCATCGAGCGACGGCTCTCTCTTGACGTCAACTGGTGATCGCGATTCGGGAGATCGACTCCTCCTTCGGCTTTTGGGCTTGTCAGGGTTGATAGAGGAAAGGATATGGCGTCTACGAGGCGACTTCTCGGTTTCGCCCATCATGTGAGGGCCGTGTAGTTCGAAGGCATTGAGTCAGTGACGCTCTTGGCTTTGCGAGTCTGAGAATTTGTAGTTGTAAGTTAAAGTTTCGATGTGGGGATTAGTTGTTGCTGGTGCACAGACCTTACTTTATGTTCATACCATGATTATCCATCGACTTGAATGATGGTGAACCCAACAAATAGGTATGCACTGAAAAGAAAGTATAGGCTCTACTAAAAGTCGATGGGTATGAGGAGCCCTTGTGGTGCATGTTGTTTTAGTGATTGCAGGTATGGTTGTGTGTCAGAGAATTGTATTAACTTTTGTGACCGTCAGACTGAGTTACATGATCCGAACTTGAGATGTACACAAGGTTATTCATTTCACCCAAACAGACGAATCCTTCAGGGAGCACTATCGCGATATCCAACCGACTATCATAGAAGTTCAATAATACTTAAAAGGTACTATGACTTGAGACTGTACTGGAATACAATGTCTAGTCATCCTGTACAGGGTAAGCAGATTTAGCGTGTTGATCAGGAAAGGCTAGCATCCACAGCCAGTTATTCGCTATCAGACAGTACTGGGTTTCTAGCATCTACTCCAGTTTTGGTGTGGTAAGATAGAAAAAACGATAATTACTGAAGGGTACGGAGGTACTAGTTGTGGAAATAAACCTTGATAGTCCACCCACTACAGAACATTGACCATTACGATAAGGAGGCAACTTGGAGTGAAACATGGGCCGCCGACCACTACCTATTATTCGCATTCACTTCAAGTCGAAAGTTCTACACACCAAGACCCCCATGCTAGAAAACAACGTTGCCCTCTGAGGGAAGTGATACTGATATCTTATCTCACATCGTTAATCAGTTATAGTCGACGCTATTCCAAAAAGTATCCCTTCCCCTGAATTCATTGTCTCCATGGGTTGGCCGCTAGGGGGGATTTTAAGGGTCTAGATGCCCCGCAGCGGCCAATCGACAGCTAGCAAACCGTCGCAGGGCTGGTATTGATCCAATCCATTTCAAACAGTGTCCAGGCTGACTGACTCTGATGAGCGAGGCCAGATAAATTTGTTCGACACCCAATACCAACGCCAACCTCTTTCTTGTCCGCTCCGCCCTTGCGTCTTGTCTGTCGTCGATACTGCGCTTCAGTCCCTCGATAAGCGCATATCCAGATCGTTACACTTGACGACAATCAGTGAAGACCGCAACATGCGTGGATAGTCTTTACAGCGGCACCTCTTTTCCTTCTGTTCTGGCATCAGTCTTTTGCGCATAACTACCCAAGAGTCAATTGACATCGCATCAACCATGGGAGGGGTACTATTACTTCTAGGCCTATGCGTAAGTGAACCTCGCCCATTCGCCGATAAACCATTGAGACTGACATTTAATCAAGCTAGTCATGGCTTTGGCGTACGTGCGACCTCGACCATAGACTCATGCCCTTCCCGTCAATTGCTAACATGCCCAACAGCTCATTCCTCGCCGGAGCGCTGCCCCTTTCAATGTCGCTTTCGCAATCACAACTTCGATTACTCTCGAGCGTCGGTGTTGGAATATTGGTCGGGACTTCACTTATAGTCATTATCCCCGAAGGAATCGAAGCTGCAACCGCGCCTGCGGAGGCTGCTCACATGCATCGAGTTCGAAGCCTGGTGCGCCGAACCCCTTGGAGCCATGCCGTACTCACACGTGGACTCCCTGAGTCAATTGTCACAATAAGTACCGGCTCAATCGAGAAACGAAATGACGAGTTGGATACCGAAGCGCTTGTCCGTCGCATTATAAATGCAGCAGCGGGGAATGGTCGAGTCAAGCGCGCCGATATTGAGGCCGCCGTTGAAGCGACAGGTGATGATACTCCAGCCATCCCAGGAGCCGGCGATACCACAAAGGATAGCACTACCGACAACAAGGGACCAGAAAAGGCGGAGAGTGGAAAGGATGGCCAACAGAGCCATGACGGGGACCATGAGGCGGAGCATGATCATGATCATGAGCATGAACAGGAGCATGAGAAAGAGGAAGCGCATGAGCACGAGCACGAACATGCCGTTCCCACATTCGAAATTGGCTTCTCGTTGACTCTGGGTTTTCTGTTAATGTTCCTGATTGATCGACTTCCGCGCCATGCGACAGAGAGTCTTCATTCTGCACCCCAGACCCGCCATATCAGCCTCGACAACCTCAACGGTGATTCCGCCTCGGTTGACGAAGAGGCGGATGGGTTCCTGGGATCCCTGACACCTACTCCGCGACGAGCGCGCAGCCTGGCAACGACCACTGGACTGGTTATCCACGCCGCCGCCGACGGAATTGCAATGGGTGCCTCGTCGACCACTTCAGATATGAAGCTTGGCTTCATTATCTTTGCGGCCATTATGATTCACAAGGCTCCTGCCGCCTTTGGCCTTACTTCACTTCTCCTCAAGCAGGGTCTATCGAAGCGAGCTGCTCGAGGACATCTTATTGTATTCAGTTTGGCCGCACCCTTTGGTGCGTTGACAACATGGACATTGATCACTCTGTTAGGTGGTGGTAAGGTTGAGAGTGATCACTGGTGGACCGGCATGCTACTCCTCTTCTCTGGTGGCACGTTTTTGTAAGTTAAGCATGTCTTTCTTGACATTCGTCACTGACATCTCGATAGATATGTTGCTATGCATGCGATGCAAGAGGATACTACCCCCCATACTCATGACCACGGCATCAACGGCTATGCAGACAGTAGTGCCGCAGCCCAGCGGAAACTAAAGGGACCGCAGATGCGCGATACATTGGCCACCATGGGTGGTATGCTGGTGCCACTTCTTACACAGTTTGGCCACCACCACTAAGTCGCAAGCACTTCATTTGTCTTGTATTCCCCTGCTGCGCATGTTGAGATTTTGGGACGGTATGTGGTGGAATACAACAGCCATAGACAGAGTTTGGGATGACATGACGCTTTTCAAGATTTCTTTCTGTTTCGGAGCCGGCGAGCTCACTTTCGCTGCGTGGGAAGGGACCAGAATAGACTCATGAGCGATTTTCACGGCGACAAAAGCCGGGATGGTGGAAAGGAATTTATAGGGACAGCATGGGACATTTACGGTTCCTTGGGTTGCAATAGCCGCACAAATAGTACTCTTGAGATATGTTACAGGCGTTCTTGACTGCGGCTGCACAGCATCGCTATCACATGCCTCAAGGCCAAATTCTCTATACAAGACTGTATCTTTGTGTCACTTGATCACTGCAAGCAACTCCGGATATATCAGATCGCATCTGGTTTCAACGTAACCCAGCCGCAGCCAAAAGGAGATATGCCAATGGTGGTTTTGGTTGTGGATTCATCTGGTTCAACCTAGGTTTCAAAGAGGAGCTTTATAAAACCAACTGAGCTCTAGGCAGGGATACAAGGACAAAGCTGCTTCACACATAGTCACAGAAGCAACAAAATGGCCTGATGTTTTTGTTTGAATGATACGTAGAGCATTCCAAAGTGAAAATGGACAGGGGATGCTGAGATAGTTTATTAGTTATTGTGGAGGGTGGGTTTAATTCTCCGCGTTTGTAGATTGGACGATCCGATAACTTTGGGAATTTAATAAACAATGTCTTGGTAGGGCGTAAGACACGAGAGAATTCACATAATATAAAGAGATTGACGGCCGTTTAGGACAACTTGACTAACAAGACGTTGAAACAAGTTAACAGTGCTTAGGGAAAAGCCAAGATTGGTGTTCGGTCAAGTCCGCTCACACTTTTCTTCACAGCCTCTACGAAAATAGCAAGGGGCTCAGTTCATTCAGCTTCAAGGCCAGGGTCCTGCAGTGCTTGTTAGTCTCGTTACAGGATTGATATGTAGCTTTTCCAAGGCATTATGCGTCGTTAGTGTGGTACTACTAAAAGTTAAATCTTCAGGGCGGATCAAGGAAGAAAAAAGGTTGGTCGCTGACGCCATTGGCGCTTCTGGTGAATGTTCCGAGGTCTTCTTTTCTTCGATGTACCAAGGTATCCTCTCTGTATTGACAACCGACAATGTCAGAGAGTGAGAATTTACAGCATCGTGGCTTGCGCCAGAAGTTTGGATGTTGGCGTTTGGTAAACGTTCATCCATGTGATATTTCTTACCAGTCCTTGCAATAGATCATAGAGCCAACAATATGTTATGATATGTGGTGTAGATAAAACCAAGGTAACATGAACCCTCGTATATCAATGATCCTCAAACTCCTTGCACCTGATCGTCCAAGAAGCCTTGAAGAGGGGTTCGTCAACACACTCGACACGGCATCCAATCCCATCTTGTCGAGAGCCGCCTGAAATGTCACATCTTATCACATGGCTATACTCGATGGGGGAAGCGTAGCGATGTCTTGCAGGAGTTTGCAGTGCGGAGTCCCCCATCTTTGCTCCGAAGATATGTACATACTATGGTACAGCACAATCGTAGCTGATGCTCACATGTCATGAACAAGACACAGCTGCAGATAGCGTGTGTGAAGATCGACGTAATATCAGAGGCTGAGGGTCGGTGAAACCGTCATGATCAATGCTGCAAAAAGTCAACAGCCACGAACTGCACCTGAGAATGGCGCACGGCTTCAACCACCTACACTATGCAGGAACCAACAGAGGTATCCAATCCCTTCGTTGGGTACAATCTGATCTGGTGAACGGTGGAGATGATCAATTCGATCCAAGGTAGGATTCATTTATTCAGGGTTGACGGAGGCAGGGCCAGGGAACTACTGTAAAAAACGACCAGACTAGGATCTGTTTCACTGTTTGAAACAGGTTTGGCATCTCATGTTTCAAAATCAATTTCTCGATGAATTGAGTTGAAGCGTTTGCGGGTTGAGAACAAGATTAAAGAATGTACTTTTATTACTGAAGCGAGATTTTTTCCAATGGCGGGAATGTGATTGGAACGTCCCTGCATTGAATGAGCTGAAGGAAGAAAAAGCAATGAACAGAGCGGACTTGAAGTGCTAGGTTGGTTCCTGCGCTTCTCTCCTTACCTACCTCAGTCTATTCCATCCACTTCGAGGTACGGAGTATAGCTTACTTCCGTCTGATATTAAATGGATGCTGCTCGTACTGTAAAACCCTTCGACGACACCAGAAAAAGGAACGAAATTTGATCAAGTTCCGTTTTCGTTCACGGACCGTCTTGGGCTTCAAAACTGCTTCGTCCTACCGTAGTTCTTTCTCTCAATCGATCGTCCCTTATTCGGACAATTTTCTCTTCCTTTGTCTCGCCTCCACTTCTGCATCTGCTGCATCTGGTCATCAGATTGATTCACTTCCTCGACGCCTCAGAATCGAGTCGGTCATCTCGTCTTGCCTTACAAAGACGGACAAACCCATTATACGTATCATCCCATATCCTCGGTAAGACAATCTCGCACTCTCATTGTGCGCAATCCTTTTCTCGACACAAACTTCCATACCCGGCTTTGCCAGCTCAACTCAGGAGATATCCTTGTGCCGGTCACGGCGACAGCCGACATAATCATTGTCAAAAACGACACCCAAACAGAAAGGCAAAGGCAAGGGAACCGCTACAACAAGGCCCTGAACTGTACTGCAACGAATGCCGTTTAGCGCCTCTACGATCCCGCCATCGTCCTTGGCCTGCACCCGACCCACGCGCCAGGTCATCAGCCAGTCCCAGGCTCATTCTGCGAGCCAAGATTGTCATCCCAGAACAAACACAGGTGTTCCCGTCCCTGGACGTGTACCGGTACCGTACCGCCTGTCCGTCGGCTCTCTCCACTATCTCTAGTGACTATCGCCATTCACCGTTGGTTTCTGCTTTCTGCACCCTTTCCCTTTTTCAATATCTGCACCTAATTCTGTTCGAAGCCAACACAACATTCTTATACCGAGCTTTTGCGCGATTATAAGCGATTCGCTCTATCCTACATGTGCTGACATCCTCCTCGAATTGTTGGCAGAGGCCTCGTACGGCTTGCTTTCTGTTTCCCCACCCACGATCCATCGTCGGCCTCCCCTCGATATCAGCCGTTGTCGTTCAAGTAATCCACCTCCATCAAGTTGTTGATCCTCCTCACAAACCGTTTCAAAGTCTGTATTCCAACCCACACCAACATCTTGGAGGGCGACGACCCGGGTCATGGCCGGTTACCAACGACCCATGAGTTTTTCAGAAAGACGAGGAAGCGCCCTCAGTGACGACTTGACCCTCGGCACATCGACGAACCCCATGGTAAACCACCGCTTGGAAAAGCTGCCTCAGCAGCAACGGCACTTGCGTGGACCTCCTACTCCCAGCATGTCTACACCCGCCGCGGACTTTGATCAACAGCTCACTGGCTCACCTCCACCGCCTCCCACACCCGCTGCGTCTCCGGGACCATCGCATTTCCAACCAGATTGGAGTGATGCGGCTGATGACGAAGACTTCTTTCTTGCCAAAGTCCGGCAACACTTCAAAAACTGTTCCGGTCCTCAGAGGACTCGAGTCCTCGCCGATCTGCTGAACCTCTGTACCAGCCAGCAATTGAGTTTCGTTCACCAATTTGTCAGCCCTTTGTTGAAAAAGGACCCCTTTACAAGTCTGCCAGATGAACTGTGTCTTCGGGTAAGGAACATCCTTATATCATTGCTTTCCCTAGATCCGGTGGGCTTACTCACATGTGTAGATATTATCTTTCATCGATGACCCAAAAGTTTTAGCACGAGCCTCGCAAGTTTCCAAACGATGGCGAGATCTCCTTAGCGACGACATGACATGGAAGAATCTTTGTGTCAAACACGACTACGGCCGCCGACTATCAGAGGTCTACACACACGCACCTAATTCCTCATCGAGACCATCAGTACAGGCTCTGCATGGACTCGATGCCGACATGACTAGCAGCAGCAGTTTCCCAGGCGCGCGCCCTTATTCTTACACCTCAGGGACCCGATCGTTCGAGGGCTCGAATACCTCTGGTCGACCCAGGTTACGGACTTACAAGTCTCACTTCAAGCAGAGATATCTAGTTGAAGCTGCTTGGCGATCTGGCGGTACTAGCACAACGCGGAATATTACCCAAGAGGGGGGCGTCGTTACAAGCCTGCATCTGACACCCAAGTACATCATTGTGGCACTTGATAATGCCAAGATTCATGTGTTCGATACTGAGGGAGACTCGCAACGCACCCTGCAGGGACATGTTATGGGTGTCTGGGCCATGGTTCCCTGGGATGATACTCTGGTCAGTGGAGGCTGTGATCGCGACGTGAGAGTATGGAACCTCAAGACTGGGTAAGTTGAGAGTCATAATCAGTCTCGATCATTTGCTGACAGGATATAGTGCCTGTTTACACACCTTGCGAGGTCACACATCGACAGTTAGGTGCCTGAAAATGGCAGATGCAAATACGGCGATTTCTGGATCCCGGGATACCACCCTAAGAATCTGGGATATCCGAACCGGCCTTTGCAAAAATGTTCTTGTTGGTCATCAGTCCAGTGTTCGGTGTCTCGAGATCAAGGGTGACATTGTCGTATCCGGTAGCTACGATACTTTTGCTCGAGTCTGGAGCATTTCCGAGGGCCGTTGTCTTCAAACGTTACAGGGCCATTTTAGTCAAATTTATGCCATTGCGTTTGATGGTAAGCGAGTCGTGACGGGCAGTCTGGATACCAACGTGAGAATTTGGGATCCGAGTTCTGGGTATGTGTCTCTTCAAACTACAGATAATAGCTACTAACAGATCGAAGTGAGTGCCTGGCTATTCTCCAGGGTCACACGTCTCTTGTTGGACAGCTTCAGATGCGCGGTGACACCTTAGTTACTGGTGGATCAGATGGATCGGTTAGAGTTTGGTCATTGAAAGAAATGTGTCCGATCCATCGTCTTGCAGCTCACGACAACAGTGTCACCAGTCTGCAATTTGATGACACTCGAGTCGTGAGTGGCGGCAGTGATGGTCGAGTTAAGATCTGGGACCTCAAAACTGGACATCTCGTTCGTGAACTCATCGCGCAAGGTGAAGCTGTCTGGCGTGTTGCCTTTGAAGATGAGAAGTGTGTTGCTTTGGCCTTGAGACACGGCCGTACAGTCATGGAGGTAAGCCGATATTGAACGAGGGCTATCCACGCTCAAGACTGACTTTGATAGGTGTGGTCGTTCTCACCACCCGAAGATATGCTCTATGACCGCCCACTCTCGCTTCAACAGCGGGTACTGGAGGATGACCCCAATCGCCCATTGAGCGCCATGGCTATCGACTATCGCACTTCGCAACAGACTTTGGCCAGTTCTAGCCGAGACGCTTCAACCCAGGATGTCGAAATGAACGACGCTGGCCCTTCAACTGCCCCATTGCAGGGCGGTACGTTCTTTCATGACGACTGAGCTGGGAGTTCGGTGATCTCAACGATGGCCCTGCGTCAACCATCGTGATATGACATCGGCGAGCACCAGCATTTCAAGCGTACCCGATTTTGTGGATTCAACATTTAGTATCGAAGACGGATCCGGTCATCCGCACTGCATTGCACTATATTCTTTCTTCGAATTGTTGTAGAGGCGCCAAGGGTTTTTGAAAGCATGTTTTGGGCGTTGCTGCATCACCACCAGTTCACAAAATATGTTAGTTATGGATGGATGATCATGCGAATTTGCATGGGAGTATGACAGCATGAATCAAGGGGTTATGGGAAACTGGAGCCACGGGAATGGAATACGGAGTTGCATCTGAAGGCGGCACGGACTATATCAGAAGCCAATGTCAGCGTTCTGGTCTTTGACATTGATCGTTATCTTTATCATAATACCACATCGGCGGCGTGTGTATAGAACGATTAGAAATTAGCCCAGTAATGTTGGGTTCCACCAATAAGACTTGCCAATTCTTTGCCTTTTTATTTTGGAGCTAAGTGTGAGTTATAAACTGCCATCATGGGCCATGTTTTCGTTCCTGGGAGGTAAAATCGTTGAGCCCGAATATTTCCAGGGACTGAGAGTACCCTTAGTAAGGGACTTCCGACCTCCACCAGCAAAACCTATTGTCGTGGCTCGGAGGTAGAAGGGACGATGTGGATAGAGCCCCACATCGGCGAGAATTACACCGACGAAGTGGTGTGTCACTTGGACGGTCTTGTATGGAGCAAAAAGATGGTCAAGAGGTGGTCTTTTAATAATCGGAAGACGCGTAGGGGCTTTTTAGCAGACCTTATCGATATAAACATTTCCTCGGAGAAGATTATCTCCTCAATTGGACTGTCTGGAGGTATTCAAAGAGAACGCAAACATGTACACATCACGTGACCGCTAAGCCTATTCAGGACTAGACCTACCAACAATTGGAGGCCAAGCTCAACGCTCTGCCGCTCAACAGCGACTTTTTCTGAGCTCCATCCAGCCAAGTCGCAGTTATCAACTCGACAACGTCCTGATCCCTCAGTTCAATTCTCCATATCCACGATGTTGTCTCGAGCTCTCCGTCTCCCCAGGGCTGTGCCTATGCGCACCAAGCTCGCCGCTCCCACTTACACTGCCATTCGCTCTGTCACCACCGATGCTGCTTCGGCGTCCCTGAGCCACTCAGTCCCCAAGGTGAGAAAATGCGCACTTTCCATCCCGCGAGGGTCCTTCGGAATACCCTCGCCCGACACTTCGCCCTCCGCAATGCGCCCACGAACCATCACTGACTCTTCGACTGCTACAGTCCGATGACGAGCCTTTCTCTGTTAACCTCAGCGATGAGAGCTTCGAGACCTACGAGCTGGACCCCCCTCCTTACACCCTGGAGGTGACCAAGAAGGAGCTGAAGGATATGTACCGCGAGATGGTCATCACCCGGTATGCAATACCATTTCCCACGACCTCAATACGACATTTACTGATAATCCCGCAGACAGATGGAGATGGCGGCCGATCGTCTGTACAAGGAGAAGAAGATTCGTGGTTTCTGCCACTTGTCTACCGGACAGGAGGCTGTTGCCGTTGGCATTGAGCATGCCATCACCAAGGAGGACGATATTATCACCGCTTACCGATGCCACGGCTACGCCCTGATGCGTGGTGCTACCGTTCGATCCATCATTGGTGAGCTGCTTGGCCGACGTGAGGGTATCTCCTACGGAAAGGGTGGTTCCATGCACATGTTCGCCAAGAGCTTCTACGGCGGTAACGGTATCGTCGGTGCTCAGGTTCCCGTTGGCGCTGGCCTTGCCTTTGCTCACAAGTACAATGGCAACAAGAACGCTTCTATCATCCTCTACGGTGATGGTGCTAGCAACCAGGGCCAGGTCTTTGAGGCTTTCAACATGGCCAAGCTCTGGAACCTCCCTGCCCTCTTTGGCTGCGAGAGTAAGTCAATATTATAAGAACGAGCCAGAGCACTACTGACAACTCCACAGACAACAAGTACGGTATGGGTACCGCTGCTGCTCGTTCTTCCGCTTTGACCGACTACTACAAGCGTGGTCAGTACATCCCCGGTCTGAAGGTCAACGGTATGGATGTCCTTGCCGTCAAGGCCGCCGTCAAGTATGGCAAGGAGTGGACTGCAGCCGACAAGGGACCTCTCGTCCTCGAGTACGTCACCTATCGATATGGTGGTCACTCCATGTCTGATCCCGGTACCACCTACCGAACCCGTGAGGAGATTCAGCGCATGCGATCCACCAACGATCCTATTGCTGGACTCAAGCAGAAGATCCTGGACTGGGAGATCACAAGTGAGGAGGAGCTCAAGAAGATTGACAAGGAGGCTCGTGCCCACGTCAACGAGGAGGTTGCTGCTGCTGAGGCCATGGCTGCGCCTGAGCCCAAGCCTGAGATCCTGTTTGAGGATATCTACGTTCGGGGATCCGAGCCCGAGTACATCCGTGGCCGTATTCCCGAGGAGAACCACTACTTCCAGTAGAGGAATTGAGCGCGAGGCCGTACCACCATAATGATTTGAGCACTTGTTGCTTGCTGTAATATACATCCATGATCTATCTAGAAAGAGGCCTGGCATGGTCCGAAAATGGAGAAGGGCGAGGACCCAGGATTGCTTTTTTCGTGTTACTCATGGATGTCTCTTTGTCCTACTGTGGTTTTATATCAATGGCTTTCTCAAAGTTAGAATCAATAACGAAAGAAATCACCTAATATCATGATATTTGGCGAGCCATCTCGGCCTATCTCCCCCGAGACAACAAGAGCTTGCAGGGGCCCTCTAACAATTAATTAACGCGCGCTAATAAATTTGATCGACGCCTTACCTAACATGGGAACAGCCGGGTGCACGTCCTGCCTTACTAGGCAACCGAGTCACGTGGAGCAGGCATCTCGCGCGTTCTGGTCGCACCTGCCTTCGCGAATGGCAGCTAATTAACGCGACAGGTTGCCTAGCGGGCGCGTCATGCTACTCAGTGTTAGGTCAACTCGCGGGCTCACAATTGCCCCTCTCTTTCTACAAAACACTTCCAGATTAATATCACGACCTGTGAATTGTTGTTCTTTGTGTTCGTTGCGTTTGTTTTCGACAAGAATTCCAGGCATCATGGCACCAAAACAGGCGACTCTCGGGTATGTCGAGTCCGGACAGAGCACAATCGGGTGTGTGGAGGGACAACTAAAAGTTAAAGATTCTATCACTGACCAAGGCCAATTGGTAACTACAGGAAGTTCTTTGGGGCAAAAGGTGCGCCTCCTCAACAGACAAAGCTCTCCTTCAGCAGCAAACCCAAAAAAGAAGAAGTGAAGGACGAAGAGGAGGCTGACATGAAGGCCAAATCGGGCTCAGATTCTGAGAAAGGTATTTTGCTACTTCGATGAAATCCTACGATATTCTAAATATGGATCAGAAACAAAGAAGCGAGCAAGATCAGAAGACAAGACCAAGCCCGAGCCGACGCCCATTAAGAAAGAGGAAGTCGATGACGAGAGCGATGGACCTGTCACCAAGCGAGCACGACGAAGTCGAAAGCGAGTTGAGGAAGAAGATGACGATGAGATGATTGAAGAAACTGTGAAGAAAGAGAAACATGCATCCCCCAACAAGTCAAAGGTCGCGAGTACACCCCCAAAAGTCAAGTCGCCCAAGAGGTCAAAGGCAACCCCTAAAGCCAAGATGGCCAAAGAACCTACTCCTGAGGAGAACGACGAGTCTGCCAAAGAAGAAGCATCGACAGCTTCAGCTTCAGAAGCCCAGCTTGACGACGAGGCAGATGTCGAAGATAAGCCTGAAGTTGCTGCCAAGGCTCGCGAGAAGGTCCAGACAAAGTTCAAGTCCAAGACGAAAGACCCCTATCCTGACTGGAAGCCCGGCACCCCTATCCCGTATGCGGCCCTGTGTACAACGTTCTCTCTTGTGGAAATGACCACCAAAAGATTGATTATTATGGAGCATTGCTCTCTGTTCCTTCGCCAAGTCATGCGCCTGACCCCTGAGGATCTATTACCTACAGTCTTATTAATGATCAACAAATTGGCTCCTGACTACGCTGGTATCGAGCTTGGTATTGGCGAGTCGTTAATCATGAAGGCTATCGGCGAGACGACCGGACGAAGCCTCCAGGTGATTAAGGCTGATCAGAAAGAAATTGGTGATCTTGGATTGGTGGCTGTAAAGAGTCGATCAACCCAGCGCACTATGTTCAAGCCCAAGGCTTTGACTATCAGGGGTGTGCATCAAGGCCTAATGAACATTGCTACTGTCACTGGTAACGGTGCTCAGGGGCGCAAGGTGGATGGTATCAAGAAGCTTCTTGCTGCAGCTGATGCCAACTCCACTGGCAAAGTCGACATCACCAAGGACAAGGGAGGACCGAGTGAAGCCAAGTTTATCATTCGATTCCTGGAAGGAAAGCTGAGACTTGGTCTGGCTGAGAGAACCGTTCTTGTTTCTTTGGCGCAAGCTATTGTTGCCCACGAGGCAGATGCCAAGGGTAAGGTCCCTAGCACCTCAGATCTTGAGAAGGGTGAATCAATTCTCAAGACGGTCTACAGGTAAGCCACGTGAACCACTGTCGATGACCCATACTTACAAAACACAGCGAACTTCCGAGTTACGACGTGATTATTCCTGCAATGCTAGAACATGGGATCATGAAGCTTCGGGAAAATTGCAAGCTCCGACCCGGTGTACCTTTGAAGCCCATGCTGGCCAAGCCAACCAAGGCCATTACTGAAGTACTCGATCGCTTTGAGGGACAAACCTTCACCTGTGAGTATAAGTATGATGGCGAAAGAGCACAAATCCATTATGTGGCAAAAGATGCGCCTCAAGAACTAAACGAAGCGAGTCAAGGCGCCGCTAAGGAGGCCGCTGCTGGTGTTGCTAGCATCTTCTCCAGAAACTCCGAAGATCTCTCCAGGAAGTATCCCGATATTCTTGCCAAACTCCATACCTGGGTCAAGCCGGACACCAAGAGCTTTGTCCTGGATTGTGAGACAGTGGCCTGGGATGTCGATGAGAAGAAAGTGTTGCCCTTCCAGCAACTCATGACACGCAAGAAGAAGGACGTCAAGGTTGAGGATGTCAAGGTCAAGGTTTGCGTATTTGCATTTGATCTGTTGTACCTCAATGGAGAAGCTGTTGTCGAGAAGGCACTGCGTGAACGACGTGAGCTCCTCGAAACCGCGTTTAATCCCGTGGAAGGCGAGTTTTCCTTCGCTACCCACATGAACGGCCAGGAACTGGATGAGATCCAGGTTTTCCTTGAAGAAAGTGTCAAGGCATCATGCGAGGGTCTGATGGTAAAAATGCTGGATGGGACTGAGAGTGGATATGAGCCCAGTAAGCGAAGTCGTAACTGGCTCAAGGTAAGAATTCGAAACTGCATTACTAGAATCTGTATGACTGACTGCTATCATAGATCAAGAAGGATTACCTCTCAGGCGTCGGTGATTCCCTGGATCTTGTTGTTTT